AACAAAGGTGATTAGTCCATTGGGTTATGAACATGTGAAGTTTAAAACATAATTATCATATTTCAAGTCTATATCAATACCTACCAATAAAACTTATAATAAGTGTTCCATATTATAGGGCATATAATATCGGGACATAATATTGTGGCTGATTCAATAAAGGAACATAAAACACGAGTCATGGCCGAGATCTCTGTGGGTCGTCAAGGAATAATACATAGATAGTATTTTTGGAAAAATTTCTCAACGAACAATACACAAGAAGAAAGAAAACAACTAAGCCTATTATATTTTATTATCTGAATCTTATTGTATATCTCATTATTCGTACAAAAACATCCTCGGTGTATTATAATTTATAATACCAATAAGTAAATGGTTCAGTTTACAACGTTGTGCATAACATAATATAACATTTAAATCAGTGGTTCCTAACCTTTTTTTTATTCTACGCCCCCTTGTAAATTTTCAAAAATCTTACGCCCCTCCTCTCTTGGATTATAATTTAGAAGACATTTTTTTTTTTTTTGTTTTAATGATACAAAATAACAATGTATTATTAAACTAATAACTTAATTTTTTTTCATAATTTTAAAAATAAAATATATATTAATTATGTAAGTAAAATAAATTTAATAGGAAATTTAAAATTGTATTTTTTTACTAAGTCCGTTGGGATATTTTTGATTACACGGAACACATATCATTTTCCACATCCAATCGATTTTTTCTTTAATTTTTATTTGCAAAAGTGTGGAAAAATCAAACTCACAAAGGTTTCATCATCACTTTATCCTGTCCGTGCAGTATCTCAATTCCCCCTGGAGGGGAATTCCTCCGATTGGAAACCACTGATTTAAATTATCTGCGCATTTATAATTATTATTCAGGGCTTAACATATCGACAATTTCACGTTGCGTGCGCACGTATTAATTGGAATGTACATACTCTGGACATACTTCAACCCACACATACTGCACGTCTTCCACATCTTAAAAACTATATATTCAAAAATAAAATACAATATATATGCTATACTTAAACAGGCTACTATATATATATTTTTAATAACAAAAAGTACAGAACAGTCAATTATAAGATATTATGATTATTATAAATAATTAATATGCTTTAAAATGAATGTATACTTTAACACATGCAATTAAGTGTTAAGTTAACTCTATGAAATTATCAGTGATCATTATTGGTCTTTAGAATAATTCAGGAAAATTTCTCCAAAACATTATTCATTGATTACTTAATCGTATTTCTTAATCTAAATACATATCAGAATTGCTACTATTGGGTTGCCCTTTCACTCATGTGTTCATATATAAAGTATATAATTGTTTCTATAAATTATTCATTTAATGTACCTATTATGTTATTATTAGCATAAATTATAAAGAGAATATATTTTTTTTAATAAAATAAAACGCATTGTAAATTGTAATTAATGTGTAACATAAATGAAATAACAATAATTTAAAATCATTATCTACTCATTCACCGCACATTGTTAGGTACACCAAAAGTAAGAACAAGAGACATTGATGAACACAATATGAAAAGTCTATCCAATATAATTAACCATAACATTTTTAATTTCACAAAACTCGGAGTTTTATTCATAACTAAATAATTTTTGTAACACGTACCTTAAAAATATTGATGATATTGAATTGAGTCCAGCTTATTATCTTAAAATCTTTGAATTGAGTCCATAAAGATAAAATGTCATAACTACCTATTATATAGCCAGTGACATATTTTTTTATATTTTGTTATATTTCCAAAAATAATAAGTAAGTTGGTGCTTGAAATTTCCAAATTATTATTTTCAATATCTATATTATGATAAAACTTTCAAAAAATTTTAACTTTTTTTAAAATATTTACAGGTATGACAAATTTTCAATTTTTTTTAGTACTTTTCTATAACTGTTGATAAAAAATATTCTCTAGGTAAAAAGTACTTTTATTTATTATTATTTTTAATATTTATTAATTAATTGACTCCTTATACTGATTATTACAATTAAAAAAAAGCTAGTCTCGAATAACCTAAGAATATTTGTCTAACTCAACTCCGATAACCCAAAAGTATTTGTGGGACTCATTGGACTCAATTCAATGTTATCCAAAAATTTGAACTATACATTCTGTGCTTTTGAACACATTATTTTAGCTTATTGATAGAATAAAATGCAATAATTTATTCACTATTAGTCTACTTTCTACAGTAGTAATTGTATTCTAAAATATTAAAATAAATAAAATACTACATATCATTTGTTTGTATAATAATATAATATAATAGTATGTGCAATTTAGTTGCATATAATTTATATATTTTCTTCAATCTACGTGTCGAAACTTACAGCCATTTACTACTTAGTACTTAATATGCAAACTATTGCTGCGTATATATACATAGTAATAATATAATATACTCAATTGTATTATTGCATATAATTTATGTGTTTTCGTTAGTCCTCGTGTTGAAACTATTGACCGTTTCATATAACAGTTAATGTTCTTGTCTATACTTAAATCAAGAGCCACAACTAGATCTTAAATAAAGGTAAATCAAAATTTGTGAATTTAAGAATAAAGATTTAATCAAAAACATCAAACATTTGCAAGATATCAACTCTGTGCTTCATGTAATTATATTTTTTGGTCCGACTCTAAGTGAATCAACGTTTAAAATTGTAAGTAATCATCGGACAATTATAATAAATAACAATAATTATAGGTTCGCAGTTTAAAAACAGCTCATTTTAAAATTTACCATCAACACCAAATTTCTCATTAATAAAAAAATAAATAATATTTTTAATTTTTTAGTTAAATCCATAATACAATAGTTATTTAACTTTTATATAATTAATTATATCTATAAACTGTAATAATAATGAAAAATATAATACATTTTATAAATTATAGCTTATACATTAACATATTTTAGTGCATATAATAGTAGTGTATTCAACAAAAAAATTTTACAAAAAATGACACGGTTTATGATTAAAAATGTATTCATTAGGCTATGTCTGTTACGAACCGGAAACAAAATGCACACCTGCAAGCTATACTCATTAGACATTAAATTATACAATAACTCAAGTCAAACGTGATTAAGAACCCCGCAGTATATTATATCATTTATATTTTTTAAATAATATTATATCTAATTCCTTGTAACTGGTTTCATAAACTGTAGACATAGACCGAACAATATAATAATATTGTATCGCGTGACTGTTGTGTCTACTTATAATATTCCTAGTAAGTTTTCATTGATCGTTACTAAATGATAAAATTAACAAAATCTCATCCGACGAATCTCATTACACCGTACTGGTAACTGTTTCAATTTTAACTACAAACATAGGTCTAGTATAGTATATATAGTTTAATATAATACATCTATTTATAATTTTTATTTTGGTATTCTATAACGACAGATTACAATATATTCTAGCAGTTTGATTAAATCAGCAAATTCTTTATCTGTACTCTCGACTCTCATCATAAATTTAAATCAGATTTTACAGTATATTAAATTGTAAATACCATTTCATATACATATCTATTTATGTGCAAACTAAACTATAAACGTTAACTCGCGCACTAAAAAAGTTACTATAACTAGGACATTTCTTTAGAGATATTTAAATGTGAAATCAAATTTTAATGACGTTAAACTAACTTTTTTTCTAAATGCACATAAAAATGTATAAAAGAGAATACAAATAATACATTATGATAAATAAAAAATAATATGAAATATGCATTCTTTTAAAACTATATAGTAGCAATTTAATTTCCAACTCTTAATTATAATACGCACTACGCGTTAATGGTATACTTAGTAAGTACACGACATGAATGATAAATATAAAAATATTAAAAATTATTTATCATATCGTATAACTAATAAGTTATAATGTTTCTATAATCAGAGCGAAATGTTATGAGATTAGGTACCAACATAGTTTAGAGTTTATATTAAAAATCCGAATTTTATTATAATATGTGATTAATAAGGTAATATTATAATATATAATTAATAATTTTAATAAAATTTATAAACATTTAATGTAATTTACCTCAACAATTCTGCAATATTATTTTAAACAAAGCTGTTATCCTTACAAAATAAATTACGGTATTGTTTGGACACGTTATTTTTTGATGGAAGTAGCAAAAACATATTAAAATATTTTCATTAAATATCATATTTCGAAAAAAAAAACCATAAAAAATCAATAATGTAACATAGAAACTTTTTTTTTGATTTTTTAATTTAATATTTAAAACAACATACATGATTTGTGCTGTATAAAATACAAAAAATTAAATAAAAAGAAATTTTAGTGTACAATATTTGAATTTTAAATAGAAATAACTTTTATACAGTGCTATTAGCCTATTTTACTCGTATATGTAGCCATCATGTAGATACCATGTATTTAATGAAACCAAACATTAAAATATTTTTAATTGTAATTAATACTATAGCAGACAGCAGTAATTTGTTAATATTGTTACAGTCATGATGGTCCATCATATCGTGTATGTTCATACAACATTTCTTGGATAATATTATTATTTTAAATGATTTAAATTATTAGCTGTACGTATATTGGCACTATTCTGCGGTAGAACACGATTGCGTACGGTCTTTATCGACATACGCAATCGTGAACATTAAATGTTCACGATTGCGTACGATTTTTATCTGCAACTTTGAAGCACTGTTGCCATTTGCTTTGAACTTATAGAACAGGGGTTATATAAGTATACTATACGAAATCGGATATTTTAGGATATTCGCACTCGATAAAATATTATGTATACTGCAGTATACCTATCATTTAATAACTCAGTGAATAACCGTCGTTGGATTATCAACTTCCTCGCGTGTTTCGTGTTTTTCTAGTGAAATATGGAAAATAAAGTTAATTTTATAACTTCTGAAAAAAGTAAACCACTAGTTTTACTAAATTTGCATAAATATCGGTTTATTAGAGAAAGAAAGGACGGAATGAAAAAATGGTTGTGTACAAAAAAAACATGTTATGCGAGTATTTTGACAAATGGAGAGTATGTCCATGAAACAATTAATGAACACAACCACACTGAAAATTCAAAACAGAACATTGAACGACAAGTATTACGGGAAGCTTGTAAAAGAAAATCAAATGATACTATTTGTGTAAGACCCATAAAAATAATTAGAACCGAACTTATAGGGAACAGTCACTCTGAAATCGAACACAGAGATGTACGATCAATTCGAAAAGCAATGTACGATAAACGTCGAAAAAATTATCCCGCTTTTCCAAAATCACTAAATGAGTCAATTGAACAACTTAAAGCAATGGAAGATGACGATGTAATACAATTTCAAGGTAAACAATTTGTTTTTATTCCCGACAATAAATCGTTTGTTTGTGTTACTACACAACAAAATCTTTATTTTATGACAAGTACAAGTGAATTTTTCGCTGATGGTACTTTCAATTATGCACCAAAATTTTTTGCCCAATTGTACACAATCAATGGTTATAAAAATGGGTTTTATGTACCAGTGGCATACTTTTTATTACCAAATAAATCAAAAAAAATCTACGCAGAAATGTGGTTGTTTTTACAAGAACTATGCGAAAAAATTGTTTTTAAAAATTTATTGGTTCTTAAATTACATTTGGATTTTGAAATCAGTGCCCATGAAGCGGCAAAAGAAGTTTTCCCAAACATCGAAATAGATGCATGTCGATTTCACTTAGGACAGTCTTGGTGGCGCAAAGTGAGTTTATTGAATTAAATAAATTAAAATCAATAGATCAATACATTTGCGTTATTTGTAGATTAATTCTGAAAAAGAACTTCGTTTGGCCTACACTAAAAACTCCGATTTGGGAAAATGGTTAAAACTTTTTTTTGGATTACCATTTTTACCTTTTCAAGATATTCAAAATGCGTTTGGTGAACTCATATCAATTTGTCCCGATTTAAATATTGGATGTTTGTTTTCTGACTACATTTTAAATACATACGTGGAGAATGGTTGTTTATTTCCACCAGAAATTTGGGCACAAGAGCCATCCGAAAATCCTCAGTAAATATTCAACTATATAATTTCTATAATAACTATGATTTTGTATTTATTTTTATTTTTTTTTAAGTACGACAAATGGATCTGAAAGTTTTCATCGAACTTACAACGCTCAATTTCATAGCTCCCATCCTTCTGTCCATGTAGTTATTTCAATTCTAAAAGAAACGCAAGTGGAAACATGTACGAAAATTCAATCAGTATTTAAAGGTCGGATTAAAAAAATGGAAAATGCTGATTTAATTGGTATAAAAGAAGCCATGAAAGAATATAACAAGTACAAAATTCATAAAAATATTATAACATATTTGTCAAAAATGTGTTATTTAAGTGGTACCAAGATATAATATTTTTTATTATATTATTTTAACATTTTATTATTTTTAAATTTTTAATTTTGTATACTATATCATAATATATTTGTCGAAAATTGATTTTTAAATGGTACCATAACTTAAGTAATTTTTCCAATATTTAAATTTTACTGATCACAAATAAAAACATAAATTTGGCAACGTTGCACAGTAAATCGTACGCAACCGTTTGACTTTTGGGGTAAATATTAAAGTTAATGGTTTAACGTACGCAATCGTGTTAATGTACGCAATCGTGTTTTCAAAAAGATACATCATACGCAATCGTGTGGTACCCCTATTCTGAACATCATTAATAATAAAAAAAAAAACCCTATTATAGAAATCTTATACTTGTACAAGAAATTTCAACAATGGTATAACCGCCTTTTCATCACGCCCACCCATATACAATACATTTATAGTGCCTATCAAATGTTTTCAGGTAACTCACCAAAGTCGGCGACAACGGACTGCGTTGTATTTTGCCACCATCATCACTTTTACGATATATTTTCTGGCGATTTCTATATAAATATTTGTGTTTAAGCATTGACCGTCTGTCGAAACGCGTAAAGCGTTAAATTTCGTCAGTGTTCCAGTTTCTCCAAAATTCCTGTTTGCCAGACAGTGCATTTATACAAGGCTTATAATATACAGTTTGTTTTGAAATCCATTTGAAGGTGTTTCAAGGTAATATTGTCAAACAAAAATAATGCTTGATATTTTATAACGTTTGGTTTAAATATTCAGAAATGCTATTTTAAGAATGTAATAATCGAAAGTTAAATATTTAAGCATATAATTAACGCAAACGATATGAAAACCATGGTCATTGAAAAAAAGACATATTTCACGATTTTGAAAACGTTCATCTTTAATTTTTTAAATAAGAAGTATATATTATTATGTGTCATAATTTAATAGCATGTTAAAATAGTCAAAGTAACAATTTTTAAAATTAAATAATGTAATATATTACATATTATACTCATAATTCCTTTCCCGTTGAAAATGTCTAAAAACGATTTCTTTCTCATCTAATTAGCAGTCAGTCAACCATCAATATTATTCTCAACGTATACTCTTATCATAATTTTATGTTGTATAAATTAAAGGTAACTTCTGAATAATAATAAAAAAAAAATTTACATACGTTTGTATTTTGTACCTTGTTCTCTATTCTATGTTATAGTATTAGGTTTTATTCTTTGAGTACCTATATGCTTTAATAGACTATTATCTTATATTAATTTATTATACCAAAATATGCAGTATCATAAATTAAATTAAAATCACTTGTTAAACTAAACCTTAGAGTTTTTCGTGATCATATTATATTTTTATAAATCGTAATAGATAACAATAAACAACCATTATAACAAATATAATAATTTAATATTGCAATCATTATGTACATCTAGTAATGCTCTAGGTATGTACACACCATATTTTGTCATAAAATTAAACATAGATTTTTTTCATAATTTATTTTATATTAAATTTATTATATTTTAATAAATCCTTATTTTTAGTTTAGGTAAACTACAATATTGCAATTAGATGTTTTATCATCACGGGCAAAATTCTGAGACAGACTATATTTTTTACTTTCCTAATATTGAGACATAACAATATTATGATGAATAAAGTTCTTATAAATAATTCTTAATGAAGCTTGTTTAAAACATTCGTTTTATTAAATAATAATTTCTGGAAATATAAAATACCTTTTTTAATAAAATATTATCTATATTTAATATTAAATTATATTTTCTTTATGAAACTATATTGTTAAGCATTATTTCTATTCAAATAAAGTAATCACAGAAAACAATTATAAAAATAGATAAAAAAATTTAAAAAACAAGAATATCTTATCATACTCTATGTTAACCATGATAATTATAACTATTTAAAAGTATTTGTCAAACGAAAATAAATTTAAATAACCATAATATTATAAAATATTACAATTACCTTAGATATAAAAAAAGCTATCATATTTAGTTCTATTTAAAGTTTTAAATATTTATTAACGAAAAATATAAATTCTTAGAAAGACTGCAGTAGATTTAAAAATTTAACAGTAAATAGGTATCAAATTCGTATTTAATAATCATTCCTTAATAGGTCGATTAAATCTTAGTATCAATATACTAAATAACTCAGACTATTAAAAAATGTAATATTTAATGGTTATAATACTCAGTAATTCAAAGTGTATTTAAAATAAATAACTTCACTTCTTTGTTTATAAATTGTAATTATGAATGTCCAAATAAGTAATAGTAAATAATTATACAAGTTATAATGGCTATTAACATTTCTGAAATTTCCAAAAACATGATATTATGTTTCAATTAATCATTTAAACTATTAAGTATACTTAATTAAATTAAAGCAGTATAATTTATAACTACCTAACAAAATACTAGGTTTTGATAAATTCTATATGATGTACATTGCATTATAATAATGTATGTAAAAAATAGATTATTTAGTCATAATAAAGTTAATATTAACTATTCAAAGTAGAATTTTCTTCTAGATATTAGTGGTTCAACTAGGGTTATTTCAAGTAGAAAGGGTCTAAGAAATATGTTAAAAGACCTTTTTAATCACAATGTGCAAAAAACAAATTTCTATTTTTTAAATCTGTTTAATACAATATTATTGTATTTATATAATTAGTGTAAGCGATGTAAAAGAAAAAGAAAAAAAAAGAAAAAAATTTATGACATTCAAACAAGGTTCAATTTATACAAAAGTAAAAATAAAGTTTAGATATAGATTTATATTTAATATTTAGATTAATATTAATTTGATACTTTGATAGTACCTACCCATTTTAGTATATTCTACGCATTTAAAGGAGGAGATCAAACCCAAAATCTACTTCCTCGGGTGCGCCATCGATAGATAACAGATTGTAGATATATTCTACATGTATATATATATATATACCTTTCTTGATAATCGTACAGACATTATAAAATATTATACATAGTTTACTTATATTTGAATGATTGTGTAATAATTATTAATGGTTATTGAGTACCTATCTATTAATTATTAAGTTTTAAAATTATATGGTTATTACAATACCTGGCGTCTATAAATTGTTTTTGAACTAAATGTTACACGAAAAAATGCATTTAATTTATACTACATAATAAATAAAAAAAATAAGTTAACTAAAGTAAATAAATATTTTAAAATATCAATACAGGATACATATCATAATTAATATTTACATATTTGCATGCCTATTTTGATCGTATTATTCCAACAAATCCACAATATACAATATACATATACAATTAAGTACCTAATAACTAATAAATATCTCATTTATGTTTTTGATTCAGACTTCAGAGTGAAGCAAAGAATGTATTACTAATATATTGATTTAACAAACTATGGTTTTGTTATTAGCGCGGAAAGAGTACTTCTAAAGTTTTGTGTAGTACCTTTATAAGTGAAAAATCTAATTTAAATAGTATTTTATACAGAACAAAATGCTATTATTTACTTTTAACTTTAAGTAAATTGATCCGATTAATTAATAATTAATGATGAATTACTGGACAAAATAGTTAATAAATGATACCACGAATATAGATAATATTAAATACATAAAAACTATATAAATATATTTATAAAAATATATAAATGTGTAATAACTAATTAGACAGACTTATTTTAGAGAAAATATTAATTTAAATCCATTTCTTAATTTGTCTCTGCGTCCGGTATTATCGATAATATTTTAATGATGCATATAGCATAATATGATATAACCTTTACATATTTTTGTCGGTTTATTATACGAATAGATAAAATAAACGGATCAGACAAAGTTAATAATATAAATTATTTAATTTTTAATTTTTATTTAGTTTCAAATTTTTTTATAGTAGGTGGGGTTGCTCCCTGTTGTTAATATTATTTAGTATTGTGAGCATAGAAAATACACAATTTAGCTGTTGTGAGACAACAAAAACTTATTAAATAAGTTGTAGATATTGAAAAATTTAAACTATAAAGACAAATTAGGTATAGTATCACTTGTAATATATTTTTATAAAACATTATGATGATACGAGTATTAAATGAATATATATTTTTTTATACATATTATACGATTTCTATATTATATTCAGATTTTGAATAAAACTCTTCAAACGTAAAATTTTTTTTGAAATTGATTTTCTTTTAATATTTATATCTATATTATGCTGTACTATGAACATTATTATAGTATTAAATATAACAACGGATATTTGAGCACATTAGTATAAAATGCAATAAAAATCCTAAGTAAAATATTAGCAACATATAGTTAGGTATGCAGACATAAAAAAAAATATATAAAAAACCCATTAAATTACAATTGTTAAAGACACGTGAAAAACTAAAAGTACAAACTATATAATTCTAAAAGGTGACGAAAAATGACTTGGTATTATTGAACAGTTGACTATATTTCTGTTCGATAAGCTAAAGAGCAGTTAATAATTTAATATACACTATTAATTAGTTGTTGTTGCATAACCGATTAGACTATACCGAACATAAATTATTTATTTATATGTAATTAAATAATTACGCTAAGTCGATAAAAAGCTGTAGGTATATAAATTTAATATTC